CGGAGGCTAATCAGGACCCGATGTGAAACCGTTTGAACACTGTGGAGCGAAAATTTCAAATTTTGCATCAGTCTTACTAGACCCATTCTATTCGAAATCCTAGTACTACACAATTTTTGCCATGAAAGTTTGACAGATAAAATGAGGGATTCGTGGCTTTTCCTATGTTTCGAGGGGTGCATCGATTAGCTTGGGACCGAAGATAGTACCAGAGCTGAGCCAAAAAGTTGAGCACTTTTCTTCGGGACCTACTAGTCTTAGAGTTACCTCTATGATTGTACCACATGGCAACACTAAATGTACTGGAATGTTTTGGTTCTATATCTTTCACTCTACTCAAAACTTAAATGCTTCAAAAATGACACAATGATACACTCTTTGCACACTGTCAAAGATCATTGCACACAAAATCAACTTTGTTCAAATCAAACCAAAAATACAAGCCCATCTGGTGGCTGATGGCACAAGCTTCTAAGAAAATTCTATTTCAGCGAACGACATTATTTTAATTGGATTCTTCGCCAGTTAGTCGTCTGTCACTTCGTTTGTGTTCCTCCCATTTTTTTTAGTTTGATCTGCAACAGCAGAACGTATAGGGTGTATAGGGGCAAATCAAAGTTGGCGCTCGTGGAGAATAGAAGAACTATAAAAGTGATGATGGTTTCAAAATTTTCCACGGGGAAGTATACGAGTGCAATCTTAAAATGCTTTTATTTTGCAAATGGAACATTTTATTTAAATCTGGTTGCTGCTACAGTGGTAGAAAAGCTCAAATCTATGTGTACACCTAAAAATCTGAAAAGAAATGAATTTTTCTATATTATTTGTCTATTGAGTAGTCCTTAAGTTTTCTACTAACATAGCACCAACCAGATTTAAATAAAATGTTCCATTTGCAAAATAAAAGCATTTTAAGATTGCACTCGTATACTTCCCCGTGGAAAATTTTGAAACCATCATCACTTTTATAGTTCTTCTATTCTCCACGAGTACCAACTTTGATTTGCCAATAGAGTCTTGCAGATTTTTTGAATAATTTTCATGTAGAAGTGACTACTGATAACCTTTGAATATGTTTGAAGGTTGAACTGTAACAACAATACACGCCTTGTCAGGCGTCTTTAGAAATTCGATGATTTTTTTTATGTCTTTGAAGTAGCAGGATGGCGTTAGGATGACTACAGATTTCCTCCCAAATTATGGGAGCTTGAACTTTAACAGCATGGCGTTGAGGTTTCTATAGAAATTTGGTGATTTTTTGGATCACTTTGAAGCCGCAGGTTCACTATAAATAGAGGAAATGGCTCTAATGTTGGCCTATGGATCTAAGATTGGGCCCATCGTTAAAAATCTGCTATTTATCAATTTTAACTAGATGAACGCGTCATTGGGACGGTACTAATGGATATTTTCGGTCACTATTAGCAAAGACTTGGGCTGCACACTACTTATGAGAGATGACGAACAAAATGGTTTCAATAAAAAAAAAACTATACATGGTAAGATCATTCTAAAATGTTGATATCAAGGTAAGTGACTGTTATTGATGAATCATTATATAAAACATATAAATTACAATATACATTTAAATACATATACAAAAAGGGAAGGGAGGGTCCAACAGGGCAACCGATTGAAGCAATTTGGATAGGGAGAGTGGGATTGCCAACTTCCTTTTGCATACATTTCGTGGATAGAGGACGGGCTATTCTCCACACTCATGGGGCATCCTTCAGGATGAGGGCTTATTCCATTGCGAATTATATGATCTTGGTTGCTGGAAGGTGATACTTATTCTGTTCCCGGTGGGTTTCGTGTGGGTGTTTCTGCTTACGGGTCCACCCCTCCGTTTTTGGCCCTTCATACAGCGCCAAGCTGAATATGATTTGTCAGTGGGACTTGATCAAGCCGTCCAGATTGGATTGCCCATTGCTATGTGCAGGTGCCTTGCTACATAAGTGGTAGTCTCAATCATCATCATCATCATCATCATCATCATCATCATCATCATCATCATCATCATCAAATTAGGGGCAATTAGGCCGACATTACATCCATTTCCCTTATAATAATAAAATTTGGGACCTTGATCTGCAACAACAGGGTGTTATAGATGTCAAAAGAAACTTGATAACTTTTAAGTAGCAAGATGAGTTTAAGGTGATGCTCTAAGGAAGCCTTAGCGTGAAACTTTAAAGGCACAAATGTCAGCTTCCACAAAACATACAAATTTGAAATTGCTACTCTCTGTTTTTAGTAGCACAGCAAACAAGGAGTAGCAATTTCAAATTTGTATGTTTTGTGGCAGCTGACATTTGTGTCTTTAAAGTTTCACGCTAAGGCTTCCTAAGGATGACAACAATCAATTTAAAAATTATGGTAGTTTGAACTGCAACAGCAGGGCGTTTAAAGTGTCTATAAAAACTTGTTGATTTTTTGAATGATTTTTTGATCTCTTTTAAAATTTTCGGGAGGTTAACCTGCAACAAAAAGTAATTTGATGATTTTTGGATGACTACTTCAAATAGGAGGGCGTAAAGGTTGACTATTGAACTTATACCAATAGTTTGGGAAGTAGATCTGCAAAAAATGGGCGTTTGTTTGATGTGTTTTTAAAATATAAATTTTAATTTTATTTGTTCCAAATTCAAAATAATTAACATTTCATTTTAATTTAGCAGCTACTACAATAACTTACCAGCCTTAATTTTTATGATATATATTTAAGTGTTTTGCATTGGTCCTGCCTTGGCAATTCAGTATTTTAAACAGGTTTTTCAAACCTGCATGTCAGTATAACAATTGACATCTTCAAACTAAAAACTAAAATTAAATCCTATCTATACAGCGGCGCCGGTGGCGTAGTGGTAAGCGTGATTACCTCTCACCCCAGCAGGCCTGGGTTCAATTCCAATTTTGGAAGCGTTGCTGCAAATAACAAGTACACTTCTTCCTTTAGCAGAGATGCCTGTGTAATCGGCGAACAAACATTTGTGGCAACCCTGAGGCAAATCAGGGAGGTCCGAAGTGAAAATGTCATTCATAACATTTGATAACGGCACAAAAGCATTTGTAAACTAACTTTCTAAAGCCCTTTAAACGTGAACAAAAGTACGCCCACGCAAACCAATACCACTTTCGGAAAGGTGATAGTTGCTCCTATCCGATGATGTTGTTGGTTTGCGTGGGCGTACTTTGGTTCGCGTGCAAAGGGCCTTAGAAAGTTTGTTTACAAATGCTTTTGTGCCATTATCAAATGTTATGCCTGATGTTATACAATATAGGCCCAAGAATGCTACCCTGAGAAACTTCTGCTCTAACAGGTAGGGGGCTGTCCATAAACTACGTAGACAGGTTAGGGGGGAGGGAGTGTTGAGACTTATTCACGGCCCATACAAATTAAAAAAAAATGTATGGCCAATTGACTACGCAGGGGGAGGGGGGGTCAATAATCCTAAAAATCTGTCTACGTAGTCAATGAACAGCCCCTAGTCGTTCAGATTTGGAAATATGATAATTTACCTGCAGAGTTCTGTTAGTTAAATAATTTTGAACTAATTTCATAATATAGAGGGTAAAGTTAAACTTTTTCAATTTTGCAATCAAACCTTCATGCCAAACACTATCGAATGCTTTTTCTATGTCTAAAAGAGCAACTCCAGTTGAGCAGCCTTCAGATTTGTTTGAACGAATTAAGTTGGTAACTCTTAAGAGTTGATGAGTAGTTGAATGCCCATGGAGAAATCCAAACTGCTCATCTGCAAAAATTGAGTTCGTATTGCTGTGAAGTATCATTCTATTTAAAATGGGTTTGGAGCTCGGGTCTATTTTCGAAACATTATTTTCAAAAGTTTTGTTCCTCAGTGCAGAGAATCTCTTTTTAATTAGTTTTGAAAATCCCGCGAGATAACTTTCATGGCAGGATCGCGTGTTCTTTGATATTTCCTCATTCGGACATTTTTCAGACGGATCAAGAGCTGAAGATCGTCGCTATTATAATTGAATTTAATTTAACCTCGCATTTTGGTACTGAGGCAGCTCTCGCTTCAACTTTAGAAGTAGTCCGAGATTCAAGAGCATAATTAACATCATATTGCAAAGGAATGTTTGGAATAATGTTCGATATTGCTCCCAATCAGCTTTATGGTAATTGAAAGTAGAGCTGTTGGGATTAGAAATTATTTCTTTGGCATTCGCAAAACTCGAACACCGCTCAGGAATCCTGGGAAGTAGTGCTTCCATTTCTCATGTCGACTGGAAATCACTGTCCCGTACTTTGCCATGTGGTTCATAACAGTGGCTTGTGGCCATGCCAGAGGAAGGTCATGCACTCGATCAGTCACTGCTTCACAATCCGCATATACCGGGATTTTGAACTCACTCTTCGCACAGAGAAACGCGTGTTTATAGTTGTGCGCCTTTTCATAGTGCAAGGCAACTTCATTGTCTATCATCTCAATAAAACACAATTTTGGAGGTTATGAAACTGAATGCATCTAACGTCCGAATACTGAATTTAATATTATTGTTCTCGAAGAATTTTTACACTTTTACCGCATTGGGACGAACTGGAAGGACACTGAAGTCAACATCAAGTGTGTTTTTACGAACTACACTCATTTTCGCTACAATATTTCACCATGTTAAGCAGAGCAGAAAGAGCACACGTCCGATGAGTACGAGTAATGGCTGTCGAATGGTCGGGTTATGTTAACCGGTATGTATTTTTTTCAGATGATTAGCCATACGCAGCATGAGAACTTACCAACGATGTGGTTTACAAAAAATCAACTGTCAAAAGCTGTGGTTTAAGGACGATGCTCATCTTGCCCCATATGGGTATCTTCCCCCAGTTTGGATGCGATACGACAAATTTGAGTGATAGTAATAAATGAATCGAGGATTTCGAGACACTAACAATATTTAAATTGAAAGGCAAATACATGTACCAATACTGAAATGCTACGTTTGCTTGATTATAATATAAGCTTGGTACAAACCTGCACTGACATAATAGACGATTTTTCACTCTCGGTAATTGCTTCTCCTATGCTTACTGATGGGTTTCCAGTCCTATGGAATAGTGGCTAAGAGTAATAATTTTTACCGATATTTCATTGATGCTGCTCACTACTTACCATCGGTTGACTGTTTTAATAGCAATTTCCAATTGTGGTCGACCATCAGAATCACGTACCGTGGTATCGTCGAAAGTTAGTGTTGTGCAGCCGGCAGCTATTTCAGGAAGATAAAATGATCTTTCCACTTCATACCATTTGCCAAGAAACTGAAATTATAAAGTTGGTTCATTTAATTATATACTAGAAATACGTTAACACCCTAATACAAATAAACCATACCCGAAAAATAACTTTAATGATAAAGCTGTTCCACAAATGGTTTCAATGATGCCCTACATTTTACTATACTGGTTTTTATACTTTCATCACTGAGCGTTGTTTTTTGTCTGAGCTTAAAATTGAGAATGCGTTACGAAAATGTATAGATATTTTTTATGAGATTACAATGCTTGACGATAAATAAGAACAGTAGTTGCATTTTTTGCTTCTGAATATTTGGCTCCCGTTTGACAGTTTAAACTGGCTCCCAAGTGACAAGCACATTGAGTGAGTCCACAGTCCATAGTAGGTATTACAGAACTGCATTTCAAACACCATCGACTAGAAGCTTACGTCGAAGCAAGACTTGGGTTTATGAACATCGATAGAACTGTTTCTGCATATTGATGGTATAAGAGTAAATTGGGTGAGCATTTATTTTGCCAGTGAAGGCGGGGTAACCCCTTATCTAATCCCCCATCCCTCTCCAACTAGAGAGTGTGGTAAAAGAAATGCTCGTTACCGTCAACCGTCAACTAAAATTGACCTTTGCTCGCTTTCTACTTTCTATATACAGTTTTCACACTGCCGTACTCTATCGGAACTATCAATTTATACTTTCGTCTCCTCATCTATCTTACATTAAGTCTCCAACTTTGTAACCAAAATTTAAACCTTAAATATCTTTTTGAAACCATTCACGGACAGAAAAATTGTTTGCATTGAACCAAAAAAAAAACTTTAGTTGTATTTAAACAAACAATTCCGGTTGAAATTAAATTGAATACTTATTCATATAAATTCAAAGAAAGATTCTTTTTGTTTTAATAAGCCACTTTTCAACTGCAACTATAGTAAAAATAACAATATTCTTTTATTAAGCCAACAATAGGTCGTATGAATAAAAGCGTTCACTTTACTTTTCCCGTAAGAAAAGCATGGGAATGTAAAGTAAACTCTTTTTATTCATACAGCCTATAGTAAGTTTTAATTTACCATTTTTTTTTGTGTCCGTTCCCCGGGTGTAACGCATGAATGCAAAAAATACCAACCATTCCCTCGTTTTCACCCGGACAAAAATGTAAACAATAACACAAAACTGTTTTCGCTTGATTTCAACTCTTTTCCGCGTTTCACAATATTTAATTGTTTTAAACTGTGAATTTCGGGAAATACTGATTATATTTCCGAAAATATTGAGACTTCAGGTAAGTAAAGGGTGTACCGTTTAAAATCCACACACACTCAAATTGCTCTAACTTTTGATCCGTTGGGTAAAATCAATTGAAATTTTGCGTAGACATATTTTAATGTGTATTATTGACACTCTGTTAGTTGATTTCATCAGGTGCGCAAAAGTTTTCAAAATGGCGACGAAAGAACAGTGCGTGCGCAAAAAAGTTTTGCTCGAGTACTTTGAAAATAAAGATCTGTCGCATCGTGCCATCGGAAAAAAAAGTTGGGAATCGCGCATTCCTCGGTGTCTGGTATCATAGAACGGTTCGAAAAACGTATGAATGTTTATCGGAAGCGAAGATCCGGAAAAAAGCCGTCAGGTCAACGAGAACGATCACAAACGCGTGGTTGGAGCCTTTAAACAGAAACCGAACGCATCAGTTCGAGATGTGCCTAAAAAGTTGCATGTGAGCAAGACTTTCGTGCAGAATACCAAAACTCGAGCTGGACTACGTAGGTTTAAGGTTCAGAAGTTCCCAAACCGTGTCGAGAAACAGAATACGGTCGCAAAAAACCGTGCCCGGAAGTTGTAAGTCCAGAAGTTAATGAAACCACACTGCTGCGTAATGAATGACGAGACATATGTGAAGGCGGACTTCAACCAGATTTCAGGAAGCCTGTATGTGACTGCAAAAGATAAGTGTGATGTTCTAGAGAACCTCCGGACACAGAAGATGTGGAAGTTCGCCAAGAAGTTCTTAATTTGGCAAGCGATTTGTACTTGCAATAAGCGGAGTACACCTTTCGTTCCCGCAAGCACCATGAATGGACAGGTGTATTTGGAAAAGTGTCTCCAAAAGCGGCTTCTCCCTCTCCTCAAGGATCACGACGGTTCAACGTTCTTTTCGCCGGATTTGGCATCATGCCACTACTCGAAGGACATGCTAGAGTGGTATAAGGAGAATGATGTCGATTTCATGCCGAAAGATTGAACTGCGTCTAAAAGAAAAATATTAGGCCATTATGTAGAAGCACCTTCTAATACGACCTAAAGTGGTGAAGAATGTAGAAGAAATGAAAAAAAAGCATGGGTTAATATGCAAAAAACTGACGATTCTGAGGTTAACCTTATGGCTGGGGTTAAGGCCAAATAAAGGCGAAATAAATTTAATGAATGATGCCAAAACTAACTTTAATTGTTTATTTTTACTCCCTGAGAATTGTGTGGATTTTAAACGGTACACCCTTTAAGTATGCTGCAGTTGCTAAATGTAAACAGTTTTTCTTTTTTTTCCTTGATTTGTTTTCCGTATTGAGTACCAATGCTACCGACGCCAGGAAGGCAGCTCCCATACCTGGACCCTACCTATCGACCTATCAACTCATGAACCGGGGACCAAAGGCTTTGCTTCCCGTGATCAGAGATTTTATTTTTTAAATATGGGGGTGACCCCGGCGTAGTGGTTAGCATCCATACCTATCACGCCAAAGTCGCGAGTTCAAATCTCACCCCCGGACGGACAAGTCACGAATGACCCAAGAGTGTTAAAGTAACTATAATAATAAAAAAAAAAAAAATAAAAAAAAAAATTAAATATTAAATCTAGTTTTTAAAGAAACATAAGGCGCGGCGGTGGTGAAGCGGTAAGCGTGATTATCTCTCACCCCAGCAGGCCTGGGTTCAATTCCAGTCAGAGCTGCCGGGATGTTCTGAGGTATAGCATCTCTGATCACGCCTTCCCTTCCGAAGGAAGGCGTGATCAGGGATTTTATGTCTCAGAAAAATCCGGCGGCGCCGACTGGGATTGAACCCAGGCCTTTTGGGGTGAGATGCAATCATTCATGGGTTTTGAGGAACAACAATACTGGATTGTTGAAATAATGATTTCTTTTTGCAGCCAAATAAAATGAAATTCTTTTTGATTTTACGTCAAATATTATAACGTTTAAAATATTTTTTTCTGCGTGTCAGATAAAGTGCCTGTTAACAGAAAGCTCTCTTCAGCTTCACGAACCCTTAAAGGCTCTCAGGACATTCTTCTAGACTTGATTGAACATGTAGATTTTCAAGGTCTTAACTCCAGCATACTTTGGAGAGCATTATATATCTTATTGAAACCATCCGATAATGTTCAACATGCACAGAAGGCTCACTTAAACTTCACGAACTCAAAAAGACTTTCAGTACATTGTTCAAGACTTCATTGAGCCTGTAGATCTTCAAGATCTGCACTCCAGAGTATCTTGTTGATATCATTCCATGATGGGTATGTTGTCAAAAGTCTAGCTTGAACTTCTTGGACTTATATGGATTTTCAGGACATTGATGAAGTTTTATTGAGCCTATATAACTCCAAGATCTTATATCCTGAATGGTTTGGAGAGCATTGAATATCTTATTGCAACCATTGTAAAACGCGCATATACATTTTTAGGGCTCTGATGATGTGTTGTATGTGCCGGAAACGCGCGTATCAATCCACATTGAGTAAAAAGGACATCAAGATCTTAATTCCTGGACATTATGGTAATCCTAGAAGGCTTCAATATCTCAAAAATATGTTTTATGATTAATGTAGACACATACTAATACAAATCTGGGTTGCTTCCACTCACTTGCTATAAGACAATGTTTTTCGGAATTATGAAATCAATAGATGATATTTTGTGTTTGACTCATAAAACCTGTCAATTTCGCTTTCAGAGCGTCACAATCAGCGATCTTATAATTCGCGAGCGTTCACTCAGAGTGAGCGCTCACGAATCGTTAAATCGCTGATGGTGATGCACTGAAAGCAATATTTACAGGTTTTATGTGTCAAACACATACTTCACGACCTCTTCTTGTAACTTACAAGTACTAATTATCATTATAAAATCTAATGTTTTCATAATTAGGAAAAATATTTTTTATAGCAAGTGAGTGAAAGTAGCCCTGATTACAAATCATGCCAAACAAAGCAAGAACATGTTTTTGGACACCTTTTTGTATGGAGATTCGCCATATTTTTGTATGGAGATTCGCCATAATGCCTAGTATGCGAGTCCACCATCTAATTGCCCGGAATCGAGCAATAGGATGGGATCCATGCAATGGTAATGACAAAAGAAAGTAAAGATAAAACACTTAAAAGCTCTCGTATTTTCAGATCGTCTGTGTTTTTTTCGTCGCGTTTTTTCGATTGATAACATTTTGCTAGAGAAGTTCGCGGGTGCAGGATTTTATGGCCGAACTAAGGATAACTCTAGGTGCATTTTCAACGGTATTCCGGTCGTTGGAGCTGTGGTTAGGGTTTCCCATGTTTTCGGTTTCGTCGAAAGTGTAGTATTTTCTCTTGTGTAAGTGGAACAGTTTTTCACCATGTGATGGTGCGTTAGATGGTCAGATGATGTTCTGTGTACCTTTGGAGTAGGAGCGGAACCACGATAGGATGCGATTTTTTATGTATTTTTATGCTTAAAATTATATACCAATCACATAATATATTATTATAATCTCTTTGATATAACTCGGCTGTTTGGTACGGTATGTCAGTAGAGGTAACTCTTAGACCAGAAAGTCCCAAAGAGACGTGCTCAACTTTTTTGGCTCGGCTCTGGTACTCTCTTCGGTCCCAAGCTAATCGATGCACCCCTCGAAGCATAGAAAAATCTACGAACCCCTCATTTTATCTGTCAAACTTTCATAGCGAATCGAAACAAACATAGTGTAGTACTAGAATCATAGAGGTAACTCTAAGACTAGTAGGTCCGAAGAAACAACCTCAACTTT